GGGAAAGAATGCCTTATCTTCTTCCCATCCACATTTTAGGGAAGATGGAGGCCATAGAAATTACAGCAGAGAAGAAATTAAGTTCTCAATCTCAGCCTCCCATTCAAGGGCTAAATGACTTATGCTAGCTGTACTCTATATAGTAGGTGCGCTCTGTCATGTACCTGGTACCCTACAAATGTTGAAAGCCAGTACCTGCTACTACTCCTAGTGATAAATACATTAATGAAATACAGAAAGAAAAAAAAAGAAGTTATAGAACAGTTATTCATGTTTAGAGTGTCCATGAAAGTATCCCATTGAGGTGAAAGACAACCAAACCTGACCTGTACATGCCCTTGAATAGTTGTAGCCAACTATCTTCCATACGGTTGGAAAAGTTACCTTGATCTAAAGGCTTTACATTTTGCTGTGGTGTGGAAAAGGCTTAAAAATTGTGACATTTAAGTTGAAATAAACACAGTACCATCTAAGTAGCTTGTTCTACCTATAGAATTATATTTAAAGAAGCTTAAAGACATAAGCTTACTGCCTTTGAAACATTACCTACTAATACTGCAGACTTGATACAGAAAATCTTCAGAACTGGTTAACCAAACTCATGTCCTTCGGCCATCCATATTCTCCCCTCACATCTCTGAAGCTTACCCTTTCAAGCAAAAGGGAACATTTTGCCATTTATTGTGGTACTCCCTGCTACAAGATACCAATAAGAAAGTTCTCAGACTTCCTCCAGTAAATGCTTCCCAAGATTAGCATCTGGAGTTATAATAACTAGTTTCGTGAAGCATGATGGTAACTAAGTCAGATTTAGAAAAGACAAGAGTATTACTGACTGCATCAGTTCAGTAGGGCACATGTTCATTTTTCCAGGAGACAAAAAAAAAAAAAAAAAGTAACTGGCCAACTTGGAAGACAGGTCATTGGTTAAATCCAGCATCTCCGTTAATATTTCACTAACTTGTAGTATACGTTTCCTTGTTTTTCAGTCCTTTAGAATTCTAACCAATTCCAGAGATTTCTAATAATCTGTTTTCATACTCATCTTTTTCTCAGGTTCCTGGAAGCACATCTATTGTCACAGGTCAGTTGACTAGTCTTTTGACCATCACATCTGGTTTACAAGACACAGTAATTCTATCATCTCAAAAAGCTTATCCTTCTCTTGAACATGCCATTCCACACAAATGCATGGCAGAAAGTCTCTCTGATATCACTATTCATCCTGACCTAGCATCTGACAACTATTATTTAAAGTTTAAATCCTAAACCTACAGCCCCGAACCAGGACAAAGTAGTCCTATCTACAAGAGCAAATCAAGTATAGGAACTTGTTGTTCATGCATCTTAAGTATTGCTGCTAATACAGCTGAGTCCTGGCATTCTACATCTCCGGTGAGTTTAAATCAAATTTAGAGTTTCGATGACATTCCATGCCAACCAAATTCATACAACCTGGTCTCTCCTCCCACTAGGCCCCAGCTATCCCAGTATTTCCACATTTAATGGACTGTAAAAATAACTGCTGTCTTTTATACTTCCCAGTCTGAAATTCTGATCTAGTTTCTTTTTCCCGAGTTTCTGTAGAATACTCCGGATCAACTTGATTTCTGTTCCTTAACAGTTGTATTCTGTTCTTCAGTTTCTGTAGCCGTAGTCGAGTAAAATCAAAATAGTATATAACCTTTTAACGTTTCCCATTTTTCTACTATTAACTTCCTACCACCTCTACCGTTCTGCAGTTCTAGTTCTACACAGCAGTACTTCCAACCTATTACTATTATTACCAGATGGGCTCTAATTTCAGACTTCCTTGCCAGGCTTGGCTCAACATCAATCTGAACTCTACCTTTAACTGTAAAGGGACTTCCTAGCCTATAGTAATACTGAAGGAACACTTTTTTATATCCTTAACCTCAATCTAGTCAAAGACTGACAAAGACTACTACACTCTTGACAGTACACTCACACTCCACCCATGATTTGGTAGGCAAGGCCTTTCATAAGTACTAGCATGGTAACTCCATTTGTTGCTCAGTTTGGGATAAGCAAATCAGTTACAGTATTAATTTGCCAATAAAAAAAAAAAGAAGAACCATTTCTATCATCTGGATCGTGTTACCTCCTGTTTCTGTAGATGATATGTTTAGGTTCAGGGCACCTCTTGAAAAATATCAGTGAAAACGAGACAGTCACAGCTAGTCAATGTAGCAGCAAGAGGAGTCTTCATGACAATGTAACTACCATTCCCAAAGCGTTTTCCTCAACACTTAAATGCACTTGGACACAGGCACATCTTTGCTTGAAGTTGGACAAAATTCAAGTCTTTCTTCCCTGACCATGGAAGATTTTGTAACTACTTTACCAGAGTTAAGGCAGGAAAACTAGGGCCTTTACTTCCCCAAGAGTAAAAATATACCACACTTTGGTAAAAAGCTATGCAAAAGAAAGTAATAGCAGAGTTCAAACAGTTCATGGCACAAATGCCTCCAAACCATTTCAGCTTCTCCATTTTAATTGTTAATCGAAGAAGAAAATTTACATAAACCACTACGCAAAGTCCCATCTGCAGCTATTCCCGTTCACAAAAGGAAGCCTCCTTTCCTGGTATTCCCCGCTCAGTGCCGGATACCATGGCTTTCTGAACTAGCTGGCATCAGCCCCACAAACCAACGCTCATTAACGCAGAGTCGTGTCAGGGAATCTGAAAACAGGAAGGCCATTTGCTGACTCAGCACCAATTGGGGCACTCTGTGACTAGCCTATGCGCACAGCTGATGGGAGCTGCAGCACTGCATTGCTGCCTCCCCCTCGCCACTTCCTGCCCGAAGCTGCCTGCAGCACTGAAACAAGAAGTGATGTCACACACAGGAACCCTACAAGAGGCAACCAAGTTTTTTTCAAGCTAAACACTTAAGAAACAATGGAAGTAATCCAGTAATATCCGTATAGGAGCACAGAGGAAAGGGGCGGTGCACACATCAGATTCAATTTTGCCATTGCTAGCTGTTTAGACGTAACGCAGATGCAACCATTCTCATTATTTTTATGTCTGTAAATTAACCAATACATCAGCTGAAAACCATCTTTCTCTCAAATAGGATCCAAAAAGAGAAACCAGTCATGAAAGACCAAGTAAAACACCTAGGTCTTTCAAGAATTAGTAGTTCTTATTAATACCCAAAGGAAACAAAATTTCATTTCCAAGTGTATTTTTTCCTCTTCCCCTAGTGCCATGATGAGCAGTCCCATCTCTACCACAATCAGTTTATAAACACATTTTATTCTTAGTTCCCACCACTGCAGCTCTGGGTGTGGTTTCTTCAGGAACAGGAAAAGCTGTGCACATGCTGTTCAAAAGGACAATGAGCATAAAACTGAACTCAAACCAAGGAAAAGGTTAACTTCATGTGGGCGTCTGCTTCAGCAGTACTCCACACAAAGATAACTCCTAAAATGCATTTGTCCTAAAAGAAAACTAAATACTGGAAAGCCTATTCTTCAATCTCAAAGCTATTCATTAGTTACAGGACACCGATGGAGGGTTTGCACTCTGTACTTCTGCAATACATACAATCAGAGGATGACCTTCTCGGACAGGCTTCAGAGACAAGTTTTCTAGCATATGCAGAACCGTGAAAGAACTCCAGTTCTACCATTTGGAAACTAGCAGCAGAGGGATAAAACAAAGCCATCATGGAAATGCACAGAAGAGTGAGGAAATCCAAAATCCCAGCTTCAAACCGAACCACAGTATCACCACGGCTGTCGGTTCTGAAACAGCTGAGAGAAGTCACACTGTACAGAAAGCAAAGCTACCATTAGCTAATCAACTGCAACATTAAAATATCTAAACTGTAACTCTAAACTACAAGATCCATACACTAAGTTACATATGATTAAGCCCAGTTATACTCACGTTGATGTAATAGTCCGGAAGCGCTCCTGTCCAGCTGTGTCCCAGATCTGTAGCTTCACCTTCTCTCCATTGATCTCAACTGTCCGGATTTTAAAATCCACTCCAATTGTGGTAATGTAGCTGCCTGAAGGGAAAGCATAGATAAGTGAGAACCTAAGTCTTGCTTATTTTGGATGTCCCAAAGCACACTTCTGAACACTATTTGGCGGTAGCTTTCAGATTGGACAGGAGAACAAGGTTCTCCCTGTCTGCTTATCTTTCAAAACGCCCTATCAGGTCATGCTGATCTGCATATTTTTATCTGCAGATAATAGCTTTTTTCTTGCCTTAAAGCCACTTCTCCCATGCCACCCTTAAAATTTAAAATTCAGTGTTACAAAATAAAATTATTCTTCTACTGCATTGGTGGTCAAGAGTAAGGACACAAATATCTCAAGAAATGGACAGTAACTATGCAAGTATTTTACTTGTGAAAATTTTGAGACAAAGCTTTGCTTTAAATGCTTGTGCAATCACTTATTTTGAATACAGTCTGTTCTAAGAGTTTAGTCCCAATAAATTAGTTATGTCACAAATACAAGCGCTTTAGCCACAATATTCAATCAATCTAAATCCCAAATGGCTAAAAGGAAGTCTGCACAGAGTACAGCATAAGCTAAAAAAACTAAGCTATTTCTGGAACCATGTCAGTATTTAAATACTGTGGGACTTTCAGTTGCAAGTGAAGATCAGACAGTATGGCTTGTATAGGCTTATGCCAAGAGAAGCAAAGTTAGAAACATAATGTATTCCTAGTCCAGCTATCGGTGGGTAAATGCAGAACAACAACTTGCCAACCAGCAGCAGTGGTTCAGACCTTGAACATTTCACTTACTGAAGTAAACAAAACACTCACCTGAGAACGTATTATCTGCAAAACGCAACAGCAAACTGCTCTTGCCCACACCTACGACAAACAAAGACAGCAAGATCTTTGAATACAGGCATCTTGGGTGTCAGGTAACATAACAGTATTTTACCCATTCATTGCATTTTTAACTCTAACTAGGATCTTTTCTCAGCAGATAATTTAGTACCATCCACCTTGACTATTCATCTTGGTACTCTCCTTCAAGATTTGATCAAGCACACTGCAGTCACTCCAAGACTTGGTATGCTTCTTGTAGCAGTACAGGGGTTTTTTTTTTTGTCCCCTCCTTCCTCCAGCCCTCAGCAAACTCTCAAACAGTAGCTTTTGAACTGTGGTCAGCTCTAAGAGGTCATAAAAGAGTAATACCTAAACGCACGTTTACAATCAGTAGACTTAAATTTGCTGAGGAGAGATGCAAAAATAAGTATGTCATGCTAATTAACAAGTATTCAGAACACTACTCTACACTACTCTATTGAATTCCACTGGCACATCATGCTTAACACCACTGCCTACCTTCCATTCATTTATGCCATGCTGAACGGCAGTGGAATTTGGACTACTTAGAAAGTCAGACTAGGGTTTGGTACTATAAAGCTTATGTTATCATGGCCACAGTTTAACAGAAGCCTAAACCAAACAGGGGAGTTGGGAACCGTTGTTCTATATTGCCATCCAAAATAGGCTTGTTCCACATCTAACAGGAAGGACACATACCTTTCTGAAGTTGTACCTTTAGCCAAAATGTTCCACGAAATGAAATATTTCTCTAAGTGCTTTGAGTAGCACTTCATCCAGGTTTTCCTTATATGATTGTTTGCACCCTGATCACACCCCGTTGCAGGGAAGCATTTTTCACAGTGCTTCAAAGAAGAATCATAAGAAACTCATTCCTGCACACCCAACCAAGGGAATCTGGGTATCAGAATGCCTCGAAGTTGTTATCTCTGCGTAACATCTCTGCTGTTAATGTCCCTTCCTCTCCCTTCCCCACAGAAAGAAGTCAGCTATGGCATGAAGGAGAAATTCAATTTCACCAGCGTGATTATCTATTAAATCTTTTCAGGTAGAAGTTATTAAACTAATTGTTTTCATGATGTGTATCTTGCAAGTTCTTCTTAATAGAAAATCTGTGCAAAAGGCACGTGCAAAGACTATACAGCTCCAATAGCTCTCAGCTGCTGGCATGTGAAGATAGGTTCCAGCACACAAAAAAACACCTAAAAATCTGCACGATTCCAGTAAGCCAGATCTCATTTGCAAAGAATTCAAATCACCAGACATCTGGAAAAGCCATGCTCAGGTCTCATTGAGTATTACAAATCTTAAAGAAAAAAAAAAAAAGCTACTAAAAAATACAAAGTTACAGCATGCATACACTGAATATTTCTGAGCTGAAAAAGGGTAGCAGAGCAGTTCCTAAACTCTAACAGAGGGCTGGTTATTTAGCAAGAGCTAAATCCCTGCAAAATACCAGTTGGCCAAGGTAAAAAAACCAAAGGTTTCAGCAAGCACTATGCTTTTTGATCAAGCATCCTTGGCCTCCAGCTTAATAAAAAGAAAGTAGATGGTGGAACCCACAGACTTGTCAGACCACACCACCCTCTTAAAAGGTCAGTCAGCCTCAGGCTACGCTGCAGAGCTGCACATGACCTCTGCTTTGTCAGACTGTCCACTACTGCACAGACACGGTCTTGTCTATACTGCTCTCAGCACTCAGGCACCTTCTAGAGAAGGGAAACCTCCTGCACTTGGGAAGTTCTACATGCTCCTGATGACAACGATCTCACTAAACAAACACTGCCTCTGACCCGCACTGTTCACATAAAGGGAAATCACACTCTTCATGACCCCCCACTTCCTACACAGAGTTATTTGAAGAGCTGAAAAGAGAAGGCTGGCAGGGCCTCTGCCTGTTGAAGACAGCAAAATGAAACAAAACCAAAAAAAGGCCTATTGGCTTTGCAAAATCAAAATTAAAAGCAAATTTCCTTGCCACACCAGTTTCTAAACGCTGTGTCTTACTGAATGGTAGAGTGAATTAAAGAAGCATAAGTGAATTAAAGAAGGACATGCAAAGCACACATAATCTGTATTATTTTTAAATATGTGGCACAACTGAGATCACCAGCAGCTTTTCAAGATGACCTGTTCTAAAAACACACAAGCCTACTACCCTCTTGACATATTTTGCATACAGGGGAAAGCAAATGAGACATAATCATCCTATCCAGTATCAGTCCACTTCCGATTGCAAGGAATAAACATCAATAAACAAGGCAAGCAAACTGTTTTGTGAAAACAGGGATAAAGCCTTCCTGTTGGGGTTAGCAAAAACAAAAATCAATACTCAAACTACATAGTGAGATTTAATTACAGCAACAGGGAACCACAGGCAACCTGACAATTCTCCCAACACTTTTTTCCTCTCACTGGATACACTATAAGGACTCAAGAAAACTCTGCTAAGAAGTTTAATTTAATTGTTCAAAATGAGAAGTCTTCCTCAGAGTTTTCACCATCCTGTTTATCTTGCCTGAACAGTTTTGAAATTCATCAGCAAGCAACAAAGTTACTGCTTTATTCAGAATGCAGCATTTGGTTTTAATAATCCCTAGGCTCCCAAAAGTACCTAGGTTTTTAAGCTGTTTTGAAGCTGTTGCCCTTTCTCCTTCTTTAGATCCCTTCATGCAGACAGTTTAGTACAGAATAAAATATTTTTACATACAGCTAAAGCTTCTGGAGGTGACAACTGCCAAGATCGTGCAACATTACACCTTCACCCAAGAACCATGCCTCACTGCATGCCGGGACCTGCTGCCTTATGGACCACACCTCTGTTAAAAGAAGAGGGTGGATGCCATCTTCTCCAGTTTATGGAAATTAAACTGTAAGGTGTTGGAGTGTTACCAGCACTGAACCTTCCTAGCCCCAATTCTTATGTACCTAGACTAAAGCACCAGACACAGGCTGAGTTCACACACTAGCCCTCCAGAAGTTTCTGAACTTGCTGCAGAAGTATTTACAGGTCTATTTTCAAAAGTCTGTAACTACCCCTTATCCATAACTATTTTAGGTATTTGCATCCTATACTATAACTGGAAGTACAAAAAGCTACCGTCTCTTCAAGGATTTATAAAAAGAGTGACACACTCTAGAGCTGAGACTTCACGTTGAAGCACAGAAAAAGAGTCTTAAGGAATAATTAAGGTAATAGGGAGTATTAAAACGCAGTAGTTGCCACACTGGAAACAATGGTCCCTAGGGCTGAGGAGCAGCCAGCCCTTCCCATCGATGCCTTAAACTAGCTGTCACAGGCGAAGGGAACTCCCTCCTCATCCCAGCCAGAGAGTACTGGGTGCCCTCAGAACATGCGGCGCGCGAAGGCTGATGCTAGCACGAATGCCGATGCTCTCCTTACTTATACGTGCCTCATCTTCCTTTTCCTAAACCTCACCAAGCTATTTACCATAATATCCTGTGGTAGCCAGTTCCGCAGGTTCATCAGATAAAAACTTACGAAGCCCAAGCAAACGCGCCCTCTCATTCAAAGCGCGGGGGTCCCCCGGCGGCCCGCCCGCGCACAGCCCAGCG